TGTCCCATTGCCGTCTGTGGATAAGAATGTTTTCCTTGTTTGACAAACCATGTTCATTTCATGCTTTGTTCTGTTGTTTTACTGGCTAAACCCGCTTTTAGGAGTAGTGGCGCTCAGGTCAAGTCAAGTTGAAGGCTCTTCATACTTTCGTTTGGCTTGTTATTGAGAGATGTGACATTGTAAAACAGAACTTGAGATATAATCGTTTTTTTTTCTCCATGTGGTAGATACAATGTTTACATAAAAGCCATTCGAGTCTTAGACATTTAAACCAATGCCTGTATCATAATAATTATTTGTCTATTAAACACAATATTTAAAAAAAAGTTATAAAGAAAGTTAATGAGTACTACTATTTAAAATGATGAACAAATGAAATAAAAATGAGTATTGTGCTCTGGAGCATTACAATGTCATTTATGTGTGGTCTTTCTTTATATTATATATATATTAGGATATATAATAAACATAGAAAACATAATAATTTTGTATGCACCGTTACATTTCCATGTGCACAAGATTCTTCTGTTAAAGTTAAAGGATAGTGTTGATGTGATTGAATACTTGTTTATAAAATGTTGACGTGTACAGTGGTGTGTTGCTGTGACTAAATGCTTGTGTGTAGAATGTTGACGTGTACCTTGACGTGTACAGTTATGTGTTGCTGTGACTAAATGTGTGTGGAATGTTGACGTGTACAGTGGTGTGTTGCTGTGACTAAATGCTTGTGTGTAGAATGTTGACCTGTACAGTGGTGTGTTACTGTGACTAAATGTTAGTGTGTAGAATGTTGACGTGTACCTTGACGTGTACAGTTATGTGTTGCTGTGACTAAATGTCTGTGTGTAGAATGTTGAAGTGTACAGTTGTGTTGCTGTGACTAAATGTTTTCTTTTAGAATGTTGACGTGTTCAGTGGTGTGTTGATGTGACTAAATGCTTGTGTGTAGAATGTTGACGTGTACAGTGGTGTGTTGCTGTGACTAAATGCTTGTGTGTAGAATGTTTGCGTGTACAGTCGTGTGTTGCTGTGACTAAATGCTTGTTTGTAGAATGTTTGCGTGTACAGTGGTCAGTATTAAAAAACTTTGGTGGCATTCCTTTATTTTATGGTTATTTTTTAATAAGTTACTTCCCTTTGCTTATTCATGGATGCTAGACGGTACAGTTGTAAAAAATTCACTATTGTGTAAAGAAATTTCATCTGTCAAAAATGTCCCTTATGTGAATAGACTGTACAGTTGTGAGAGAGGAGTCGTATGTATAGGCAATAATTTCAAAGATTTCTCATGTTTGTTTAGACAGAGACAACAAAGCTATTTAAACTGTCACGTCTCATTGCACCTAGTGCCCATCTGATAGACCATCAACCATCCTGATGTGAATATGACATTGGTATGCACATGTGTGATGGCTTTGTCCACATAACTTACGGTTGTATGTCCATGACGGGAATGCGTACATGACGATAATATTTCCCTTTAGCTTAACCCCTTGCAGGATTTACTATTTTATTTACTGTGATGAGGGACCCCGGTGTCTGTTTAATTTTAAGAGCCAAAGTACATTAACTTGACTTTGTTCTAAGCTCTCTCCTTGTCTCTCTCTCCTTCTCTCTCTCTCTCTCTCTCTCTCTCTCTCTCTCTCTCTACTTTGTACATTTCTAATGTCGCTATTTACCAGGCTATTTCCAATGATTTTCTGTGTCATGATGTTTTTACAAGAATAAAGCCCCCTTAACACCTTGGAAGTGTCCTGTCATTGAATGCGTGGATGGAAGTCACGGGGCCGCAAGTTGACATAGGTCTCGCATATATATACATATATTATATATATATATATGTATGTATAATTCAATATATATAACTCAATATATATATATCATCAATAGCCTAACACTTCATTGTGATTTCATTCCGTAAATCTTGAATTATTTCCCCTAGAAATGAATTCCTTTACTGGAACTACTTCCCTTTCAATTGAATTTGAATTATTTCCTTTAAATTTGAATTCTTTCCTCTAAACATGAGTTGTCTCACTCAAGTCTTGAATTCTTTCTTTACACTTACCCTTCTCTACATGATGCAAAGCGTTACAGAATCGCTCGGTTATATCTATCAATGGAATATATAGCAGATTTAACAAACGGGTGTGGAACAACTGAATAACTCTGAACTCACTGAAAAAAAAAAAAAAACCTAGGCAAATGTGCTCACTATGCTCCTCTATGGGCAATGAAGTCTGGACCGCATGCGCCAAGCCACTGCTTCACCCTTAGATGCCCCGCTGCGCATTCAATGGCTGGACGAATTGTCTAACTCAGAGAATCTGGAATGGCCACAATGGCTAGGCCATGACAAGAGAATTCTGAAAAGCCGTATTCCAAAAGACCTGCTGTATGAAGAACTCAGGGAGCCATATCAGATGGTCGGAGAACAGAGGGAGCCATATCAGACGGTCGGAGAAAATAGAGAACCATATCAGATGGTCAGAGAACAGAGGGAGACATATCAGATTATCGGAGAGCCCAGGGAGCCATATCAGATGGTCGGACAACTCTGGCAGCCATATCAGATGGTCGGGCAACTCTGGCAGCCATATCAGAAGTTTGGAGAACTCAGGGAGCCATATCAGATGGTCAGAAACTCTTGCAGCCATATCAGAAGGTCGGAGAACCCAGGGAGCCATATTAGAAGGTCGGAGAACTCAGGGAGCCATATCAGAAGGTCGGAGAACTCAGGGAGCCATATCAGAAGGACGGAGAACCCAGGAAGCCATATCAGAAGGTCGGAGAACTCAGGGAGCCATATCAGAAGGTCGGAGAACCCAGGGAGCCATATCAGAAGGTCGGAGAACTCAGGGAGCCATATGAGATAAAAATAAAAGAAATATGAACTCTTCTGGCTGATGAGCAATAGGGAGAATGGGATTCCAAAAATCAGAGGATGTTCGAAACGAGGTCACTGCAGAAAAAGAGCACTACGGAATGTCAAAGAAAACACATTTTAAGACTACTGGACTGCGATACAACTTTAAAATAGATAAAGATGACGTAATTTTTGTAAATAAAACAACATGTTAAACTTTGATGATGATTATACAAAATACAAATATGGACGTCTCTGCACATTCCTTCATCAGATATTTTTTGAAGTTTCTAGAAAGTTCCAAACGAGTGTCCCGGGTCTTACACGTATTTCCCCTCACAACAGCCAAAGCTGCACAAGTAGGCCCCAAGTTATAGTGCAAGGTTCTACTAAATTATTGCATTTTCCAACAAGGCCAAGCTTGTGAACATTCGTTGCATAATCCCTTTTAAAATAGCGGTGCATTTCAAACGAATAAAATCCTCATGTATTTGTACAGGTGGGTGTCCAATTTTATTTTAAAATACAAGGATATAATACCTCTTGTGTTTTTCCAAACAATTTTTGTTGGACAATTTGTATAATTTAGTTTGTTCGTCATGCAGCCTAAAGTTATCACTGCCATCAAATCTGAAAGACTGAGGTCCTTGGTAGGAAGTTGGGGGGGAGGGGGGTGTGGAAGTAAAAGGTTACATTGCAACACCTTTGCCATTTCCTCCCATTTTAATGGGATCTATTTGAAAATAACTTGAATATTTATCTGCTTAATTTGTCTATTTCACCTAACTTATGTATCACTTATAACTAAAACGCTTCTAATAAGAGTTATGATAAATCTGGGTTTTTATGGAAGAAAATTTTACTTGGTAATTTTGCGAAGTCTTTTGACAGTTTCCTAAATCTACGTCACATTGTGACGGGCGGATGCTACACACCCCCTCTCCTCCCTCATCTTTAAAAAAAAAAAAGAAAAAAAAAAATAATAATAATTTTTTAAAAAAAAAAAAAAAAAAAAAATCTGGGTTTTTATGGAAGAAAATTTTACTTGGTAATTTTGCGAAGTCTTTTGACAGTTTCCTAAATCTACGTCACATTGTGACGGGCGGATGCTACACCCCCCCTCTCCTCCCTCATCTTTAAAAAAAAAAAAGAAAAAAAAAAATAATAATAATTTTTTAAAAAAGAAGAAAAAAAAAGACACACCCCCCACCCCCGAACATACATATTCCAATTTTAAAAAAAAATGTCACAAACTTAAAACTCATAATGATTTTTTTACAATTTTTTTTTATTTCGTACTGTAAGTAACAGTAACATTGAAAAAATGAGAAGCAAATAGGGATGACTATTTCATACATTCAAGTTTCTTCAATTTATTTCCAGCCACACGCAAGAACTTTGCAGGAAATAGGATAGCTTCCCAAAACATTTGTGTTTCTTTGTAAAAAATAAATCAAACTCGGAGTCTTAAAGCACTTTTAGAATTTTGATTGCAGGAAAATAACTTGCAAGAATAAAAAAAATTGGTATTTGAGAATTAATTGAAGATTTTCTAAATTACAAACGATATTTTTTTAATGATTCAGCCAAGTGTTTTACTGTCGCACCGTTTAGGGCAGATGTGAGAAATTAACCCACGTACAAAGATGGAAAAAAAACCCACCAAAACTTTAAAATAAATTAAATTGTAAAATTGTCCACTAAGTATCCAATAAATATTTTGCGTGCCCATCCATAATATTTGAGACGTTTACTGAAAAAATAAATGAGTTATCGGCAAGGTATTATTCATTAAAAAAAAGTGGAGCTACAAACGATGTATCCATTCATAGTCAGCGGTTAACAAAGCCACAGGACGGTCACAAATGTGATGGATATTTTTTTGCTACACCCCGACTTACTACAAGTTTATTTCAGAAAACTATGACTGACTGACTGACTGACCAACCCGCCAGGACTGACTGAAAAACCCGCCAGGACTGACTGACTGACAGCCTACCAGGACTGACTGACCAACCCGCCAGGAATGACTGACCAACCAGCCAGGACTGACTGACCAACCCGCCAGGACTAACTGACCAGCCCGCCAGGACTGACTGACCAGCCCACCAGGACTGACTGACCAACCCGCCAGGACTGACTGACCAACCCGCCAGGACTGACTCACCAGCCCGCCAGGACTGACTGGCCGATTGACAAACCCACCAAGACCAACTGAATTCAGTCCGAGTTCCAGCCGTTGGACGGCTTGTTGTACTGGTGGATGTAGAAGACGAGGCACGTGCACAGCAGGGTGATGAACACGAGGACGATGTCCACCAGCCATTCTCCCAACACGCGATCCGCATGGACCGTGGGTTGGGGGGGCATGTTGAACTGAGTGACCCTGCTCAACAGATGGCGATGTTTCGCCGCCACACTTGGTCGGATGTCATTGACCGTGACCTTAATTCTGTGCTGACGTCTCGACAACGCCTGTGACGTGTCCTCGCCGCTCATTTGGGATCCTATTTGGGATCCTACTTGGGATCCCATTTGGGATCCGAAAGGTGTCGAGTTCATTGAGACGGTTGTGCCAGACATCGCTGTGGACCGTTCTTTGGGGAAAATCGTCTTCTTACATGACAGGAACGTGCACACACTCGCCGCCGGCCGACATATTTTATGGGCACCGTCTTCCTCGCCTTTTACAGGTGTGGGATCTTCCTCTTCGTTTTCGGTCGTTTTTTCCGGTTCCGTTTTGGTTTCTTCACAGTTGACCTCATCCTGACCGGTATCAGTGGACTGTGGCGTGAGCTGAACCGCTTTGTTCTTACGGAATGTGAAGCAGTGGGACACGAAGGCCTCCCACCGGTCGTTATTAGGAGGACGGACGGGTGGCTGAGGCGTGACCCGAGTCGTCGAGGTGTCCGAATGGGACGAATCCGACACCTCAAAGAACCGGGAGGGCCTCAGTCTGTCCAGCATGCTGAGAGGGTGACAGTCGTGGGAGTATTTCGCAAACGGTGTTTTAATTCTTTTGCTCAAATCCGGCTTGTCATTGTCAGTGGCTTGCACTGCTTCCGGCCCGGCCCTTCTCTCCGTCTCGTCCGATAGAACTCTTGGATTGCGAATGGTCTTTGCCATGACGCTCGTGTCATCGCTGACTGACGCCACGTCGTTCCACGGCGTCATATCTTCGTCCCGCTGAAAAACTGAGTATTCTGACTCACGGCTTTGGCTGCGGAAGGAAGCATTGCCGAAATGCTCGACTTGGTAAATTTTATTGACAGACCTAGACTTACGTTTTCCTTTTCCCTCGTGCGACACACTTAGAGGTTTTGGCCTCAGTATCATTTTCTTATCAACCGATTTGGGTGGTTTTTTCTCCGTGCTCAGATGCACCTCGCTCTTGTTGCTAGATGACTTTCTTTTCCTCGACGTCGCAGACTTGGCCCTCAGACTGGGAGACTTGCTCATCCTACGTAAATGTTTTCCCGCCATAGATCTGGTCACGGGCGATTGCTTGACGTTAGAGTCGCAACGTGTCACCTGGATGCCCATCTCTCTACGCTCGGATGCGATACTTGTCTTCCCCGCGTCATAGACAGACCCTCTCTCCGACTTCGGCCCATCGGCTCGTTCTCTTAACGCGTTCTTTGACTTCTGTCCGCGGTGGGCCTCGTGGGGGGTGTTTTCTGCATGAACTTGCAAGTTGGAGTGGGAAGACAAAGATCGCTTGTCGACGATGGGATGGGAGGCCAGGGAGTCGCCTTGGTGAATCTCAACACTGCCGCTTGATGGATGCCGGACAAGGCTCATGATGGGTGTCTGATTACCTGAAGCTGTTGATGGATATTTGAACATTTCATTTCAGGTGGTCAAATACCAATGAATAATTTGAAATTCTTTGAGCTTACACCTTTATAATATTGATTAATATCCAATACCAGAAGTATGAAATCGGAGTAGCATGATACATTTTCTTTGGTAGAAAAAACATTCTTTGGATATTTGTTAACATTGACATATTGGCATAGGTAAAAATGTGGGTGGGGGAGGGGGGGAGGGGGAGGGGAGGGTGTTTGCAAAGTGTCCGGTCCACACTGAGCGCCACTTTTTCTATTTACAAGTTTTTTCTTGGAAGAGAAGCGGCAACAATCTTGGCCCGCTAAGACTACTACGCCATTGCATTGGCGTTATGCGTATGCATGGACATACTTGGGATATAGAGATATGCATGGGAAAATAGCAGACGTACTATATAAATGAGTAACAACCGGCCTACTGTTACTGTGAAAAGACTGAACTTTTACTGTGAAAATACTGCACTGTTACTTTGGAAAGACTGCACTGCTACTTTGGAAAGACTGCACTGTTACTGTGAAAAGACTGCACTGTTACTTTGGAAAGATTGCACTGTTACTGTGAAAAGATTGCACTCTTACTGTGAAAAGACTGCACTTTTACTGTGAAAGACTGCACATTTACTGTGAAAAGAATGCACTGTTACTGTGAAAAGATTGCACTCTTACTGTGAAAAGACTGCACTTTTACTGTGAAAGAATGCACATTTACTGTGAAAAGAATGCACTGTGATTGTGAAAATTTTGCACTGTTACTTTGGAAAGATTGCACTGTTACTGTGAAAAGAATGCACTCTTACTGTGAAAAGACTGCACTTTTACTGTGAAAGACTGCACATTTACTGTGAAAATACTGCACCTTTACTGTAAAAATACTGCACTGTCACTGTGAAAAGACTGCACGCTTACTGTAAAAAGATGGCACTGTTACTGTGAAGAGACAGCACTGTTGTTGTGAAAATACTGCACTCTTACTGTGAAAAGGCTCCACTCTTAATTTGATTAACATTTATTAGACTGCTTGAAGTTGGTACATTTGTAAGATAAATTGACCAAAAAAAAAATTGTACTACCACAAATGTTGCTTTTTGATGCCATGGCATGCGTGATAGGAACCCTCGTACAAGAAGAACCTATTGAAATTTGCGCTTCATTTGAAATCAGTCCATTTGTTATAGTGGAAACAACCAGTCCTTTTGTTATAGTGGAAACAATCAGTCCATTTGTTATAATGGAAACAATCAGTCCATTTGCTATAGTGGAAACAATCAGTCCATTTTTTATAGTGGAAACAATCAGTCCATTTGCTATAGTGGAAACAATCAGTCCATTTGCTATAATGGAAACAATCAGTCCATTTGTTGTAGTGGAAACAATCAGCCTTTTGCTATAGTAGAAAAATCAGTCCATTTGTTATAGTGGAAACAATCAGTCCATTTGTTATAGTGGAAACAATCAGTCCATTTGTTATAGTGGAAGGAATCAGTCCATATGTTATAGTGGAAACAATCAGTCCATTTGTTATTGTGGAAACAATCAGTCCATTTGTTATAGTGGAAACAATCAGTCCATTTGTTATAGTGGAAACAATCAGTCCTTTTGTTATAGTGGAAACAATCAGTCCATTTGTTATAGTGGAAAAAAAAATCAACAAAAGGAATTTTCACAAACAGTGACGTTGTTAGAGGGTGGGGGGGGCAGTGGACCGCACCGGATGACACCAACCCTCATTAAAACACTGTGAACACATATCCAATGTGCAAGATGTATTCATGCCTTGTTTAAAAAAGGCAACAACTCAATATTAATTAGAATTCATGCGAAAACGTAGTAATCTTTGGAATGTAAAACTTGTATGACATGGACTCTCTACAGTGTTCATCTCGTTATTAAAAATAGTGATATGATCGTGTCACATGTACATGTCATGTGTTCATGTCATTATGTTCATGTCATTATGTTCATTTCACATGTTCAAGTCATGTACCATGACATGTGTTCATGTCACATGCTCGTGTCATATGTTCCTACCATGTGTTATGTCAAATGTTCATGTCATAATTTTACGTCATATAGGTTCATGTCACGTTTCCATGTCATATTTTTGCATTTCATATGTTCATTCACATTCTCATGTCATGTGTTTATGTCAAATGTTATGTTATATTTCACGTCATAGGTTCGTGTCATATGTTCACGTCATATGTTTATTTCATATGTTCATTGGAAGATCTAAATGGAAGGCCACTTTGTTTTTACGTGAAAAGTTTACAATGAATTCTTTAACGTCATTGGCAAGGTAACTCTAGTTTAAGTTATCAATCAAATAAAACCTCTTGGTGGCGATACAGCGCCCTTGATCTGATTGATCTCACTGAAGATCTCCACGTAGTGGATCATGTTCTCCACCACCATGATCAGGTAAGGCAGGCGTTGCATCCGTTCAACCAAGAAGGCATCCTGTCATGGAGAGAAATGAGAAATGGTTCTTTGATAAAACAAGGCAAGAGCATTGCTCATCATAGCTTTAATTCGAAAACTTTCTTGCCGAATTTTAGCGAAAGAAGAGGAAAAAAACAACAAAAGTTGGCTGGGAGTGGGTTGGCGTGTGTGTGTGCGTGTGAGTAAAAAGTTTGGACGGTTTAATGTCATAATATCTTTAATTATTGAAATGAATACGTTGTACTTGGTGTATTTACCGGTCTAGTCAGTGAGGCAAGTAGTCATGTTTGAATGTTTGATTAGAGAAATCGATCGAATTTTTCAATCTACACATTGTTTACACTCACGTGACCAGGCTGTTCTATTTTTAACGGGTTGATGACGTCAAGAACAAATATAGTGGCCAACTTCCGGACGTCCATACCGTTGTGTTCAGCTTGTTCTCCCACCTAGCGGAGGAAAAGGATCGGCCAATCAAATGTTACGTCCGGGGGTGTAGCTGGCCGGGGTTAGGGGGGGGGGGTCATGGGGTCTGGACCCTCCTTCTGGAGTTAAGATACTTTTATAAATGATATTAATCCGATGAGTGCTCAAAGGATGGCTTATGTTGGACCCCCCCCCCCAACCTTGAGGGGGGGGGGGGGGTATGGGGTCTGGACCCTTCTTCTGGAGTTAAGATACTTTTATAAATGATATTAATCCGATGAGTGCTCAAAGGATGGCTTATGTTGGACCCCCCCCCCCCCAACCTTGTCAAAGAAGTCACCAACGCCCCTGGTTGCGTCTATGGCTTAATTATTGTTTTTATTTCTTAACGATTAGTCTATCATCGCTAGAGTGCAATCAGTTCAGTCGTTTCCTAAATGTACAAACAAAGCTTGAGACGATAGGAATGTGTTTTGCCCGCACGTCATGAGGTTAAGCGCTCATAAAAACATCAACAGTTGACTGAGTTTTATCCTTTTTTTTCAAAGTGAACCGTTGCTTAGCGTTAGAGAAATTTATTTTCAAGCATAGGGTACGTCCACATTTTTTTCTAAAACAGAGTAGATTGCCCATGGTGGCCGCCCTACTTTTACCAATTTGGGTTTGCTCCAAAACCATTTTTGTTGTCTCTAAACTCGATTCCAGTAAGTTAAGAAGGGTTAATTAAAGCAGACCCAATAATAGAGTTTTAAAAATAAAATTTATATTTTCACTCTGAAGAATTTCTTCCACCCTCACGTCACGGTGACGTCATCCGAACCCGTGTTTACTTAGCCATGACCATGACAACCACAAATGATATGAAAGCGGAAATGATATGCACTAACCCATTATGCTCTTTTCTTTACGAAAAAAAAAAAAAAATCCTTCGTGGTCGTTCCCCATAATCAGAAAAACTATGACTCGGGCTGAGCCGGGTACTTCCCCGGATAAGTGGAGCCGGCAAACAAAAAAAAAAAAAAACGGAACCGGATCCGGATGTGTTGAAAATAGTTATCTTCCCCTTGGTCTGTAGTGTGTTGCACCCAAGCCCGATGGATAGGAATCTTTTGACATCATTTTGCTGTGCGTACATTTGAACGGAATTAAATAAATAATAATTGGAAACTGACAAGCGATTGGTGAGAAATTACATGTCAGCGACATGAAGCTGCAAAGCTGTGAAAATAATGCTTCTGGTGCAGATTTTGTTTAATTGAGCAAGATGCAAAGCTTCGGTTATGACCATGGTACTGTCGATTTACAATTAATATATTATTTCACAATCATACTGAGTTGCCAAAGTTGTTTTTTTATAGTTTGTGTGTGTATGTGTGTGTGTGGGGGGGTGTGGGTTTTGTGTGGATCGTTTCAAAGTTGTGGAATAGAATTCAATAATATTCAATGATATTAATGTAATTTTACACTCATTTAATAGGCGAAGCCATTGGATCAAGGGTATGTTGGCATCAGAGAAATGGAAGCTGTGACCAGCCACACTAACGCATCTAGCAGCGTTATGTTTAAGGATTAGGGCAGTGGATCTCGACATGTGCTGCACGATCCTTTCGTGGTGGTCACCTGATAAAATGTCAGGAGTCACTTGATAATTTTAGAAATTTGAGGTTGGGTGGGGGTGGTTGCAAAGTGTGCATTTTAATTTGAATTTCTATTTCAAAATCTTAATATTGATTTCACTGACCCGACTAGTTTTTGTTGTTGTTTGTAATAGAACAAAAAATAGGATTCATTTGGTAGATATGAGGCAGAGACAGGTTCAGAAACAGAGACTGACTCAGAGACTGAGACAGTTTCAACACAGAGACTGATTCAGAGAGAGACATATTCAGAGACAGAGACTGATTCAGAGACAGATTCAGAGACAGAGACTGATTCAGATACAGATTCAGAAAAAGAGACTGATTCAGAGACAGATTCAGAGACAGAGACTGATTCAGAGACAGATTCAGAGACAGAGACTGATTCAGAGACAGTTTCAGAGACAGAGACTGATACAGATTCAGAGAAAATATAAATATTTTGGAAGTTAATTTTCATTTTAAAAAAAAATACATTGTTCATTATTTGAGATCCCAAAACCTTCTCTGTTTCATTTACCCTTTTAAACTTAATGATGGCAACTTGTACGTGCAGCTGTGACCAGTTGTGCGAATTTGTCAAAAACTGTGTTATTTTATTAAAACTAAATCCAGGTGTGTGAATTTATAAAAACGTTTCTGGAGATTGACTGACAGAGCAGCCTCTGCAGAACGCTCTTCCATTCGTAGCCGTTATGTCTGTTTCCCTCCAGACCTGTTCAAAATTACAGCACCCAACACAAAATAGCTCTACAACCCCCCCCCCCCCTTTTCCTCAATCCTTACTTCTCCATTTCAAGGTATTATTAGGAGATTGACTGACAGAGCAGCCTCTGCAGAACGCTCTTCCATTCGTAGCCGTTATGTCTGTTTCCCTCCAGACCTGTTCAAAATTACAGCACCCAACACAAAATAGCTCTACAACCCCCCCCCTTTTCCTCAATCCTTACTTCTCCATTTCAAGGTATTATTATGCTTGTAGGACACTACAACTTGGCAAATTGTATAAAGTTATCACAACAACTTGCAAATCTTATAAAGTTATATCATTACAACTTGGCAAATTTTATAAAGTTATCACAACAACTTGGCAAATCTTATAAAGTTATCACAACAACTTGGCAAATCTAATAAAGTTATATCATTACAACTTGGCAAATTTTATAAAATTATCACCACAACTTGACAAATGTAATAAAGTTATCGCTACAACTTGGCAAATGTTATAAAGTTATCACTACAACTTGGCAAATTTTATAAAGTTATCACCACAACTTGGCAAATGTTATAAAGTTATCACCACAACTATCTAAATGTTATCAAGTTATCACCACAAATTGCCTCGAACTGACGATCACAAATCTGTTCGACGTTTAGTTATATTTTTGGATTCACACTAAGAGACACCGAGCCAGCTGCACGAAGTGTCTGATCTGATCTTAGACAGAGACAGATTCAGAGACAGATTCAGAGACAGATTCAGAGACAGAGACAGATTCGAGAAAGGTTCAGAGACTGAGATTGATACAGAGACTGAAAAAGATTCAGAGACAGAGAGAGATTCAGAGACTAATTCAGAGACAGATTCAGAGACACAGACTTACTCAGAGAAAAAAAAACTGATTCAGAGACAGAGACAAAGATTAACTCAGAGAAAAAACCCTGATTCAGAGACATATTCAGAGACAAAGACAGATTCAGAGACAGAGACATATTCAGAGACATAGACTGATTCAGAGACATATACAGATTCAGAGACAGAGACTGATTCACAGATGAGACAGGGACAGATTCAGAGATAGAGACTGATTCAGAGACAACGAATGATTCAAAGACAGATTCAGAGACAGATTCAGAGACAGAGACTGAGTCAGAGACAGATTCAGAGACAGATTCAGAGACAGATTCAGAGACAGATTCAGAGACAGACAGATTCAGAGACAATTTCAGAGACAGATTCAGAGACAGAGACAGATTCAGGGCTGGAACATTTGGAAGCGTGATCTGTTTGTGATTTTATGCGAGTCAAAGACTAATCAGAAGATTTTTTAAAGGTGGTTAGCAATTACACAAAGAATGAACATTGAAATTATTTGTACTTAGAATTATATTTTCTCTTTTATCAATTGACTGGTCTCTGGACCATGACCGTGGTAACGGGGTTGAAGGGGGAATAGGCCTTTGGTGCCTAAGATAAGGGGCGAAACATTCGTGATTATTCATGCAATATATTTAATTAAATATATATACTTTTCAGAAAACTTTGCCCCAAAAGTCATTCTTTGCCCATCGCGCAGTTTTTCCTTGATACGGTCCTGCTCTTGACACCCCATTGATTAGGGACTATTTAAAAGCTTTTTTTTAAATAACTTTTTCCCCCTCACCTTTTTGAGTAATCGCATCATAAAATGAATGATGGCGAAGTTATGTGGCATCGTCTGCCGGAAGTCCGACAGTATGGTAGAGTAGTTGGCCTTGGTATCGCCCGGCGAAACTTTGATCAGCTCATCGCAGATATTTTCCGGTAGGAGCGGTTCCGGCAAACGGACGAGGAACATCTTCATGGCCTCGATGACGTCATGCACACTCGCATTCTTGACCCTGTTGACCCTGTTGGCGCTAAGCTGAGCCTGAGGAAGCAGTTTAAGTTCACCAAGATGGTTTGACAGATTAAGTTCATCATGATGGTTTCATAGCTTAAGTTCATCCTGATGGTTTGTCAGATTAAGTTTTATCATGATGGTTTCATAGATTAAATTCATCATGATGGTTTGACAGATTAAGTTCATCATGATGGCTTCATAGATTAAATTCATCATGATGGTTTGTCAGATTAAGCTCATCATGATGGTTTCATAGATTAAATTCATCATGATGGTTTGTCAGATTAAGTTCATCATGATGGTTTCATAGATTAAATTCATCATGATGGTTTGACAGATTAAGTTCATCATGATGGTTTCATAGATTAAATTCATCATGATGGTTTAACAGATTAAGTTCATCATGAGGGTTTCATAGCTTAAATTCATCATAATGGTTTGTCAGATTAAGTTCCTCATGATGGTTTCATAGATTAAATTCATCATGAGGGTTTCATAGATTAAGTGCATCATGATGGTTTGACAGATTAAGTTCATCATGATGGTTTGACAGATTAAGTTCATCATGATGGTTTGACAGATTAAGTTCATCATGAGGGTTTCATAGCTTAAGTTCACCATGGTGGCAGTGCCGTCTTAAGGCATGGGCCCAGTGGGCACTGGCCCAGGGCCCCGCGCTTGTAGGGGGCCCCACAAGTTTCTAGTAGACTCACTCTTATGGAAGCATCATGCTTTACGTATTTAAAAAATTTTTATTGAAATATTTTGACAATTTATTTGGATTTCCAATTTCCCAATTTTAACCTACGATATATTATTAAATCAGCACATTCCAAAATTAATATTATAATTGCGAATCAAAGTTGGACTTTTAAAGGGAGATAACTCTCGTCAACAAATTTTACTTTGCCCAGAAATGAATCGAAAAAAGAATATAGTAAGAATCAACTTCGCGGTACAATTGGACAAAAACGTTTGAACTGGCTTTCACTAATTGGCTTTACACGAATAATAAAACAATTCACTGTTTAAAAAATTACGCAAAGGATTATGCTGTTTTATATTAAATAATTTATTATATCTATCTCGGCATCTGTCATTAATGATAATTTATCATCATCCTCTGTGATTATTTATAGTTTATTTCTGATAATGTTTGAAAACTATTACTATTATTGATTTTGAATGAATTTTTTTTTGTGTATCAATAAATTGAATTCATCGAAGTTTAACTGTTCACCCCCCCCCCCCCCCTCCCCCATATCCTTTGAACATGTCCCCCTTCGCCCCCCTCTCACGGCCCAGGTATGTTGTTGCTAGGGGGCCCCAGTGCATTGATGTGCCCAGGGTCTCCTATTATGTTAAGACGGCCCTGCATGGTGGTTAGTGGTCACATTTTAAGCATTATCGCGGGGAAACCAAAGAATTATAATTACCTTCGGTTAATTTTGGCGAAATATCTAACGTGAAATAAAACAATATAAATGTAATAATTCCCATAGTTCCCCGTAGTTTATCCAGATATAGGAAGTGGGCTAAAATCTCATCAGGTTCAGCTTGTGTACGTGACGTCTGGCAGTTATGACAGGCCTGAGTGCCACCTGACGGATGTGGACAGACTAAAACATGACACAAGTGTTTGAGAGAGAGATGTACTTTAGCTCCACAGGCATTTCAAGTTCACCACTCGAATAAATATCAAGAGTTATTTATAGCCATGGAATATATTTTGAAAAATTACTTTTTTAAAATATTATTTTAACCGAGAGCATATCCCACAGTTTTCAAATGTATATCCTATAGGTCCCGAGTGAATATATCATAGTTTCCAAATGTATATACTATAGTCCCCAGTGTATAACCCATTGTTTTCGAGTGCATGTGTAATAAGCTAACTCATTAATTTACTAATTTGTGGCTGGTGAGACAAGTGAATCATTAACTTATTAATGTGTGGCTGGTGAGACAAGTGAATCATTAACTTACTAATGTGTGGTTGGTGAGACAAGCCGAATCATTAACTTACTAATGTGTGGTTGACTCGTGCAGGTAATCCCTGGGTCTGAAACAAATCTTTGGTTTTTAAATTTTTCTCGATAATGGCAGCGGCATTTGTCAGAACTCTGAAAGTTATATAAAAAAAGAAAGTTTTACACCTTACAGGCATGGTTGATCAAATATCATTTAAAAAAAAAAAAAGAGGCTTCATTAATTTAACAATAGATTTAAATACATGACAATTTATTTTAAAATAATGAGATTGATGCTGAACTACACTTACATTGTTACATAATCGATATTTTCTTCCGCCGAAAGTCGATCATGACCATTTCAAACATCAGCTTGTTGCTGGGTCTGAATCTGTCTGTGGGTGCGAAGTTGGCTGATCGGGCCAATGCTGGCACGCAATGTTCTGGCGCAGAAGGTGCAAAGGGGGGGGGGTCGGGTAGGTGAATGGGACAACTCCAGCTACAGAATTAACCCTGGCTTTTCTGGGTTGCCTCTTGTATTCTGCAGCAGCTATTCTTTCAGTCCCATGTTACATTGTCCCCTTGTGTATGGAGGAGCGCCACGAGTCTCGATGCTTCGGGGACTTCTCCCAAATGTCCGGGTCAATGTGAAATGCTTTCAAAGGTGCGTTCAGTGTATCTTTCAAGCGTTTCTTCTGTCCCCCAGCAAACCGCCCACGCTGCTTGAGTTCACAATAAAATATGTCAGGTTTTCGTGCAGCTTGTTGTCCTCTATGTGTCAATGGTGAGACCAACGTTTGTTAAGGCATCCCAGAAGTTTGCAAGACTGCGTTGCTTAACGGCATCTGATTCAGCGTTGAACCACACTTACATTTGTATCTAACCACGCTTACATTGGTATATAACCACACTTACATTGGTATATAACCACACTTACATTGGTATATAACCACACTTACATTGGTATATAACCACACTTACATTGGTATATAACCACACTCCTTAACGAACATAGTCGGAAGCCGCTCCAATTGTTTGCTGATTGTGGCCATTGGTTCCGGGCTTTTTTCGTTTTCATGGGGCACAGTTTCCTGAATATGTTTTTTAAAAAAGTTATATTATATTAGATCACTTTGTCAAATTACCTGTAATATTATGAAATGTATTTAACTATTGCCCTTAATTTACTCATGTTTTTTTGTTGCTGCTGTTGTTGCTGCTGTTATTTCTGCTGTTGCTGTTTCTGCTGTTGCTGTTTCTGCTGTTGCAGCTGTTGTTGCTGCTGCTGTTGTTGCTGCTGTTGTTGCTGCTGTTGTTGCTCTGTCCAGGTAAAGCTTGGCGGGGAGGTACATATGGCATTACACCAGTTTTCCCGCCATTTTGGTTCCAGGGACACAGCTGTGATGTACGTTTGGAGGTTCCCTTCTCTAAGGCCTTAACTGCAAAATTTCGATTTTTTTTTTTTAAATAGGTAGATTCTAATGTAATAATAATAATAAAAATTTGCTTGAAAGCTGTTAACTTATTTTTTAAAAAAGGGTCAATGTTTTCTCTTAATGAGTTAGAAGCAACATCATTGAATTTCTTAATCTTTCTTTGTATAATTTCCAGAGTCTGTGACTATTACTATTTATTTATTAAAAATTCAGATAAAAACAGAAAAAAAACAACTAACCCATCATAATGTAGGAAAACAGGCGAATTTGTTCATTTAGAGTTTATTAATTGACTTAATATGAAAATATCATACAATAATTCACGTACCTTTAGTACCATATACTTAATACCATACAATAATTCACATACCTGTACTACCGTATACTTAATCTCATACAATAATTCACACACATGTAGTACCGTATACTTAAAATCATACAATAATTCACGTACTTGTAGTATCGTATACTTAATATCATACAATAATTCACATAACTGTAGTACCGTATACTTAATATCATACAATAATTCACATACCTCAAGTACCGTGTACTTAATATCATACAATAATTCACGTACTTGTAGTACCGTATACTTAATATCAACAAAAATTCACGTACCTGTAGTACCGTATACTTAATATCATACCATATTTCACATACCTGTAGTACCGTATACTTAATATCAACAATAATTCACGAACCTGTAGTATCGTATACTTAATATCATACAATAATTCACATAACTGTAGTACCGTATACTTAATATTATACAATAATTCACATACCTCTAGTACCGTATACTTAATATCATACAATAATTCACGTACTTGTAGTACCGTATACTTAATATCATACAATAATTCACATAACTGTAGTACAGTATACTTAATATCATACAATAATTCACATAACTGTAGTACCGTATACTTAATATCATACAATAATTCACATACCTCAAGTACCGTGTACTTAATATCATACAATAATTCACATACCTCTAGTACCGTATACTTAATATCATACAATAATTCACATACCTGTGCACCATATACTTAATATCATACAATAATTCACGTACCTGTAGTACCGTATACTTAATAACATACCATAATTCACGTACCTGTAGTACCGTATACTTAATATCATACCATAATTCACATACCTATAGTACCGTATACTTAACATCATACCATAATTCACGTACCTGTAGTACCGTATACTTAACATCATACCATAATTCACGTACCTGTAGTACAGTATACTTAATATCATACTATAATTCACGTACATGTAGTACCGTATACTTAATATCATACCATAATTCACGTACCTGTAGTACCGTATACTTAATATCATACCATAATTCACGTACCTGTAGTACCGTATACTTAATATCATTCCATAATTTACGTACCTGTAGTACCGTATACTTAATATCATACCATAATTTACGTACCTGTAGTACCGTATACTTAATATCATACCATAATTCACGTACCTGTAGTACCGTATACTTAATATCATACCATAATTCACGTACCTGTAGTACCGTATACTTAATATCATACCATAATTCACGTACCTGTAGTACCGTATACTTAATATCATACCATAATTCACGTACCTGTAGTACCTTATACTTAATATCATACCATAATTCACGTACCTGTAGTACCGTATACTTAACATCATACCATAATTCACGTACCTGTAGTACCGTATACTTAATATCATACCATAATTCACGTACCTGTAGTACCGTATACTTTTTTCGCTTTCGTTTCAGAGAAGACAACCATTTCCTGAGCCTTGACAGTAGCATTATTTCGTAATGGTCTGCATGGAATCGTCCCGTGCACCTGACGACATGGAGAATTGGCTGCAGTGGCTCCAGTTGTTGACATGTTCACCACACTAGGACAGGGTCGAGGGTGCACCCACTAAGAGGGTCTCTTCCTTTAGGGTAGCACATTCTTAGTTGGTAGAGGCGACACGAAGGCTGGCAACACTTCCGGCGTTTCATTTCCTTTTGTGAGAACTTGGAAAGAATGCTGAACAGCATCAATCTGTAAACCATTCGAATGTCGTTGCGCACCAGTTTTCAAAGTTGTTTTAAGTATGGCTGACGAGCTTATTTTTTTTTAAAATCGGGTTTCTCGGCGAATTTAAGGTTACAATTTATTTTTGTTGCAGTCCAGTGTGTTTATAATTTAAACATTATATTTTCATTGTGGTGTCGCCGTAATATGGAATACTCGATTGTGTCATGCCGCAAGCCAACTAATCACTAGGCGCACAAGCGTTTATTCCTGGATAGAAAAAAAATCAATATTGATCGGCTAGGTGAAGATCTAATTTTCCCAAGAACTCGATTCAATGGAAAAGGTTATTAAAAATGTATATTAAATTTTAAAACTAATAAAGGGTGTTATTTATGAAACCCATCATGGGAGGCTCATGCCGTGCTATGTCCACTTTATGGTGGTGGTTGGGTGGGGGGGTTAAAAGCCATTCGGGGGGGGGGGTTAAAAGCCATTCCCTTGACCAGTATGATTTTTTTGGCCATACAGTTGTTCCAGTGATGATAGTAATCCCCACCAAAGCCCAAACAAGCAAAAACATCACCAGCACCCCGGGTGGATGGGACTCTTTAACCTTGGATGGCAACTCATCTAAGAGAAGGAAACTCTGAATTCAAACCCGGAGATAGAGTCCCGCAGGCGGATAACATTGGTACAATGAAACATTCCGACGCGGCTGGTGCCAGCCTTATCATCCACATGATGTTCCCTTATGTTATCCAGCGGCGTGGAGAGAGGTGATTTGCTGTTGGTAATCGGTTTATAATGCTAGAAGAATAATCTCAGGCCTTGTGGATTTTCGTCCTGCGAAGTCCACACCTTCATATGTGTATTTTATAGATGGGGGGGGGGGGGGAATCTTTATGTGCACCTAAAAATGCGGGGGTCTTAGAGGGGG